CATTAAAAACAGTAAAACCAGTGTTGGTTTAAAACTAACAAAACATTTAAATTTCACTTTGAAGTTTCAATAACTTACTGAAGAAATTCAGGTTTTTAGTAAAAAAATAACAGTTTTCAGAGTTTCTACAACAGAATCTGTAAAAGTTTTATGTTTAGGTTTAAACATTAAATTAGATGTTTTTTAGTTCTGAATTATTTGAGACATTTATTTTGTTAAAAATATTTATTGTGAACCAACATTTGTGGGAATAAAGTTTGATTATTAAATATCTGTAAAAATGAAGTCACTATTATTTATAAATTGACTATCGTTGAGATAAAACAGTTTTAAAGAACTGATAAAAGCTCAATGAGCAGTTTGTAAAGGTTTAAATGTTTGTTTGTTGATGTGAGTTTAATTCAGAAACAGCTGAGTTAATTCAGTGCTGAGAGAAATAAATTTATTACCAACAGGCAACAATTACACATGAAGATGTTTCTCTTCTGTCACCACACAACCAGCCGCTCCACGTGGAAACAAACAGGACTCAGTGATTTCTTCTCATCGGGACTAAATAAAAACACGTTCAGGGTCTGACGAGTCTTTGTTAAACCTTAAAACCTGCAGGTCCGGTCTGAGCAGGTCCAGAGACGTCCTCCTGTCTCTGGGAGGACATCATGTCAGCTTGCTGACGATGGCTTGGTTTAAGGAGTTCAGCTGATTTGTCCATTTGTCTAAAGCCGTGTAGCGAGCGCCTCCTCTCTTCTGGTAGTCCAGCTCCAGCAGCTGGTTGACCTGGTCGATCCGCCCGTGAATCGTGCTGCAGACACAGACCAGAGACCAGAGACCAGAGACAAGTCAGGTCTGGACTTTACAGACGTCTAATTCAGGACTTTCTGTTCTGCAGTTCAGCTTTAGAATCAGAGTTATTATGTGCAGAACAGGAAGACAAAGACAACAAACACTGTCTGTAAAAATAACAGTTTTACTTCCTGCTTCCTGTTTCCATGCCAGAAAAACATCCAGCTGAAACATGACTCAGCAGATCAAAAGAAGTCTTTAATCTGAGTCAGCAGGCCTTTAATACGACTCAGCAGGCCTTTAATACGACTCAGCAAATCTTTAACACGACTCAGCAAGTCTTTAACACGACTCAGCAAGTCTTTTACACGACTCAGCAAGTCTTTAACACGACTCAGCAAGTCTTTAACACGACTCAGCAATTCTTTAACACGACTCAGCAAGTCCTTAACACGACTCAGCAAGTCCTTAACACGACTCAGCAGGCCTTTAATACGAGTCAGCAGGTCTTTAATACGAGTCAGCAGGTCTTTAATACGAGTCAGCAGGTCTTTAATACGAGTCAGCAAGTCTTTAATACGAGTCAGCAAGTCTTTAATACGAGTCAGCAAGTCTTTAATACGAGTCAGCAGGTCTTTAATACGAGTCAGCAGGCCTTTAATACGAGTCAGCAAGTCTTTAATACGAGTCAGCAAGTCTTTAATACGAGTCAGCA